TCAGGCCTCGTCTTGCTGGCCGTCCTTGGCCTTCTCCTCATCCGCCTTCCTGAGCTCGTCCAGTACCTCCTGGAAGCTGGGGTCCATGCCGTCAAGCTCGACGAAGGCCTCGCTTGGGATGCCGTCCGCGTGTGGCGCCTGCGACTGCCACCAGACCGATGGCTGCGCCAGCCACCTCGCCGTCTGCTTGGCCAGGTAGTGAGCCCCTTACGCCGCCAAGGCCCGCTGGGGCCAGTGCCCTCAGAGGCTGGCTCCCCTCTTGGCTGCCGCGTCTGCCTCCTCATTACCTTCTCTGGTCCACCTTTCCGTCTCCGTGATGCACTCCGCCTTGGACCAAGGTGCCTTCACCTTCGTCACATCGACCTCGTCGGCGCCTCCTAGCTCCTGCCACCACCTCTTCCCTAGGTGCCTCCTTGCCGCACCTTTCGCCAGCGCCTTACCCACTTCGGTCGCCATCGTGATGGAGCCCACGCAATCGCAGAAGACCTCCAGCGACCCGTGAGCGCATCCTGACAAGAAGTGGAACGCGTAGTCCTCGCCGTCCCTGGCCAGCTGCAGCGGCGCCCACGCGAGTGGAATCGTGCCACACACACAGCTCCTATCACCTGGCCGCCCTCGGAGTACTGCACGATCGCCCAGCCAGCCCTCCTCAGGATCTCCTCCATGGGGTCCGTCGCCGAGACGTCCACGAACACCCTTCCCCTGAAGACTCCGTCAGGCGGCTCCTCGATCCTGATCACGTCGTCCTTTTCGGGCCTCTCGTGCGGCATCGTCCACGCCTGCGTCACCTCTGGAAAAAGTCCCCTGGCGACCATCTCGCCTGCCTCCTCTCCTTGCTCTAAGGCCCGCCTTGCCGCTTGGAGCACCTCTTTCGGGCACACATCTCTCCTGTACGCTTCCGCCGCATCGCAGCCAAAGTGCCTGTGCCACAGCGTGCCCCTTTTCCTCCTGCAGCGCCTGCAGTTGGCCGTCGCCGCGAGGTTCCGGTCGTACAGTCTAGCCTGCGGCCACGCCGAACCTCCCATTGCTGTCCTAGCGCTCTCTTGTGCTTCAGGCTCCAGGTCTCTGCTTCCTCCTCAGCCATCAGCTCCTCGATGTGCCTCCAGTGCACCGGGCCTCCCCAGGCTGAGCGGCCCCCTAGGGCTGGCAGCGCTCTCGCATCCTCCATCCACCTGGCAGCACGTCCTACGACTTCGCTCACGAGGGCTGGCCCTAGCCGCCTCATGCCCAGCACCTCGCCCGTCGGCATCTGCAGCTCGAGCGCCGACGGCATCGTGATGCCTGCCCTCGCCATAGTGGGGCGCATCGCGTCGCCCTCGCCGACCGCTCCCTGTCGATTCCCAGGATCGACCTCAGCCTGGTGGGTGCGCGTCCGCCTGCATTCCCCGCCTCGTGAACGGGACCTCGACACCAGTCTCCGACGGTGTCTGGCGATCCCGACTCCGATCCGTCGAGCGCCTGCATGTGAGTTGGTAGACGACTGGCGGTACGACGACTGCGCCCGCTACCCACGAAACGGTATGTCCGTTGGTTTTTGGCACCTGCTTTCGTTGTGCGCCTACACCACGTGTTGGCCGATGGGTAGGCTGCCAGTGGCGCACTGCCCCCCGCTTGCTGCTGACGTGGCGCCGCCGGGTTTCGCAGTGGCATGCTCGTGGAGTCGCTCAACCTGAATTCCCCCCCCGCCATTCTGGCGATGCACACCGGCTGGCGGCTCCCCTCCAGGCGAAGGCGCACGTTTTCTGAGCGGCAGCGAGGCCCGTCTCCTGTTTGTCTCTCCCTCCGCTGTTCTCTCTTCGTCCCTCTCCTCCCTTTCGTTTGCGCAATTTAGGCCGTAGCTTGGCTGTTACGATTGTCGGACGGCATTCGGCACCTCCTATGCGCTCGCGATCACAGAATACCCCACCAGCCTATCCAGAAACGATGCCCATGAGAGCTAACGGGGGGAGAGATGAACAGACACGCATAGTCAAACAGCGAGGGAGGCCAGCCTAGACGGCGTGTTGGGGTCATTTCTGGGGTCGCGTGTGGGGGGGGGGGAGGGGGAGAAGGACGAGGTGGAGGAGGAAAAGGAGGAGGAGGAAGAGGAGGAGGAAGAGGCATGAGGAGCAAAACGAGGAAAAGGAATCGGGATGAGGAGGACGAGGACTAACAGAGTAGGGAGGAGGAGGAGGAGGAGGAGGAGGAGGAGGAGGAGAGGAGGAGAGGAGGAGGAGGAGGGAGGAGGAAAAGGAGGACGAGGGAGGAGGAGGAGGAGGAGGAGGAGGAGGAGGGAGGAGGAGGAGGATAGGGGAGCAGGACCGCATAGCGAACAGCGAGGAGGCCGCCTAGACGGGTGTTGGGTCATTTCTGGGCCGCGTGTGTGGTGGGTGGGGAGAAGGAGAGTGGAGGACGAAAAGGGAGGAGGAGGAGGAGGAGAGGATGAGGAGCAAAACGAGGAAAGGAATTGTTTAATGAGGGATGAGGAGGACGCGAACTAACAGAGTAGGAGGAGGAGGAGGAGGAGGATGAGGCAGGAGGAGGAGGAGAGGAGGAAGGATGAGAGGAGGAGGAGGAGGAGGAGGAGGAGGAGGAGGAGGAGGGAGGGGAGGAGGAGGAAGGGGCGGAGGAGGAGGAGGAGGAGGAGGAGGAGGAGGAGGAGGAGGAGGAGGAGGAGGAGGAGGAGGAGGAGGAGGCGGCGGAGGAGGAGGAGGAGGAGGGAGGAGGAGGAGGAGGAGGAGGAGGAGGAGGCAGGAGGAGGAGGAGGAGGAAGGAGGAGGCGAGGAAGGAGGAGGAGGAGGAGGAGGAGGAGGAGGAGAGGAGGAGGAGGAGGAGGAGGAGGAGGAGGGAGGATGAGGAGGAGGAGGAGGAGGAGGAGGAGGAAGGGGAGGAGGAGGTTTTGGGAGCCATCTTGAGCCATCTTGGGCTACTTTGAACCATTTTGGAGGTCATCCTGGGCTCTCTGAGGCCGCTTGGGGCCACTCGGGGGCCTCTTGGGAGTTTTTCGGGGGCCTCCGAGAACCCTCTTGAGGCGCTCGTGGGATCCTCTTGGGGTCTCCTGGGAGCCCTGGAGAGCCTCTCGGGGCCATCTTAGAGGCGGTCGGTCAAAAGAGGGGGGTCGTCGATATGCGTCCCCCCCTCGGGGGCCACGATCCTCGTGATGGGGTGTCAAACGTTGGCCCTCCCAAACCCAAACCACCCAGGGAGGGGAGGGGGAGGGTTTCCCTCCCCGAAGGGGGGAGGGGTTGTGGAAGAGGAAAGAGACCCTCCTTCGACCACCTGTCGCCCAGAGGGCTGGTGGGATTCCTTTCCTCTCTCTATATGCAAATAGAAGTATGTGTATGAATGAATGACTGACAGAATGAATGAATGAATGAATGTATGTACGTACGTATGTATGTATGTATGTATGTATGTATGTATGTATGTATGTATGTATGTATGTATGTATGTATGTATGTATGTATGTATGTATGTATGTATGTAATGTATTTATGTATGTATGTATGTATGCATACATGTATGTATGTATGTATGTATGTATGTACGTATGTATGTATGTATGTATGTATGTATATATGTACGTATGTATGCATGCATGCATGCATGCATGCATGCATGCATGTATGTATGTATGTATGTATGTATGTATGTATGTATGTATGTATGTATGTATGTATGTATGTATGTATGTATGTGTGTGTGTGTATGTATGTATGTATGTATGTGTGTGTGTGTGTATGTATGTATGTATGTATGTATGTATGTATGTATGTATGTATGTATGTATGTATGTATGTATGTGTGTATGTATGTTTGCTTGTTTGTTTGTTTGTTTGCATGCATGTATGTAGGTATGTATGTATATATATATATATATATAGGAGGTGGAGGATACTCGACAAGTGACACGGCTGGTGGCCTGCACAGAGCGGGTGTCGGAGTGTGCCTTTCGTTCGGTCGGCTAGGTAAATGCCCGTGCGGGCTTCAACGGGGAACCGCTCAACGGGGCTGCCGACCAGTTTTTTAGGGTGGCTCACTGTCGCCAAGCTCGCAACACACGTATCTTCTCCTCCTCGTACTCCTCCCTCTTCGATCCTCGTCCTCCTCTTCGTTGTTCTTCGCCTCCACGCCTGTCCAACTCCTCTTGTTCTCCCTTGGTGCAGACTGCTCCCTCGCTCCCTGCATCCCATCTGGCCTGCTTGTCTCGCAGCCTCGGCCCAGCCATGAGGAGGATGAAGATGAGGATGGGGAGGATGATGAGGAGGAGGAGACGGAGGAGGACGAGGAGGAGGACGAGGATGTCGAGGAACAGGAGGAGGAGGAGGAGGAGGAGGAGGATGAGGAGAAGGAGGAGGAGGACGAGGAGAAAGAGGAGGAGGAGGAGGAGGAGGAGGACCCTGATGGCGAGGAAGAGGAGCGGATGATGATGACGAAGAGCATGAGGAACCTGAGGAGAAAAGGATAAGGAAGAGGAGGAGGAGGAGGAGGAGGCGGAGGAGGAGGAAACGGAGGATGGGGAGCAGGAGAAGGAGGAAGAAGATGCTGTGGAGGAGAATGGCGATTACCATTATGATGCTGCTGCTGATGATGATGATGATACTGATGCTGATGATGCTGATGGTGCTGATGATGATGGTGGTGATGATGACGATGATGCTGATGATGGTGGTGCTGGTGATGATGGTGGTGGGTGTGGTAGTTGTGCTGATGATGACGATGACGCTGATGGCATTGATGTTCGCTGACAACGATGATGATGAGTGTCATGATGCTGATGATGCTGATGATGATGCTAGATACGATGATGAGGATGCGGATGCTGATGATGATGATGCTGATGCTGATGCTGACGATGATGCTGCTGCTGATGATGACGGCAACGATGATGATGATAATGATGATGATGATGCTGATGCTGCTGATGATGATGATGATGATGATGTGAATGTTGATGTGGATGTTGCTGCTGCTGCTGATGATGGTGCTGATCATGTTGTTGAGAATGGTGACGATGATGCTGATGATGATGATGATGATGCTCGTGCTGACGCGGCTGATGATGGTCCTGCCGATGATGATAACTATGATGCTGATGATGATGGTGATGACGATGATGATGGTGATACTGCTGCCGCTGATGATAATGATGCTGCTGACGACGATGATGATGATGATGGTGGTGCTGGTGATGAGCATGATGATGATGACGATGATGATGCTGATTCTGATGCTGATGCTGATGCGGATGAGGATGATGATGATGATGATGATGATGATGATGATGATGTTGATGATGCTGCTGCTGATGATGATGTTGATGATTATGGTGGTGGTGATGATGATGATGATTCTGATGGTGCTGATTCTGATGATGGTGGTGATGCTGCTGCTGATGATGATGATGATGCTGATGCTGATGATGCTGATGCTGATGCTGATGCTGATGCTGATGCTGATGCTGTGCTGATGCTGATGATGATGATGATGATGAGATGATGATGCTGATGATGATGAGGATGATGAGATGATGATTGATGATGATGATGGATGCATGATGTGATGATGATGATGATGATGATGATGATGATGATGCTGATGCAGGGCCACGACTGTCCGCGCTGTCAGCGACGCCGCATGAGTGTGACAAATGCAAGGGGGTGGATGTGCAGTTCGGCGGCAGAATCCTGCGCGGTCGTTTTTAACGCGCGCCCCAGACTCTTCGCTCGGAGCCGCGAACTGTCATTGCAGCTTGAATGGGCAAAAACATGTCGCAAAGCGCTCGAGAAGCAGCGAGTTGAGTGCGCAGGTTGACCCCGCCGCTCGCTCCAGCCAGCGCGGGAGCGCCCCATGGCGTCGCTGTCGCGGCAGCGTCGTAGAAACCGGTAGAGTACGCGTAGAATCCGCGTTGTAATT